AGGATACGGACACACAAGGACAGAGAATAAACAAGAGAGTTTTGAGGGGCGGTGACAAGGGGGCTTCTGTTTGATTCTAAACTATCAAAATTATAAAGATTCATATTTTAACAAAAAATTATAACCTGAGGAACTGTGAAAATGCATAATTTGAACCATAGATAAATGGTGCTATGATCACTATTTAGAAAGTTTAAAGCAAAATAAGCATACAGTTTTTTTGGGCTTGTTTGTTTTTTTAAGAAATAACTGGTTTGCCCTTTACAAAAGTATCTGAATTAACCAGGCTCACCATCACAACATGTAAAGCAAATCTACGGGTTCATAGTTCAGCATGTTAAATACAGAATGTGACTGCAAAAGAAAATAATTTTCAAAGCTTGGGAAAAGCCCTTTTAAGGATTTAAAGTGTGAAGCACTTGACTTCTAATAGCAGTATACTGTAAGAAATTGTAACCACAGCATAAAAGTCACATTAACAGATTCTCAAAGTAGAAAAATATTTTTCATTCACATTTCAGATTTTTTTCTTTCTGGAATTAAAAATAAGAAGCAGATTTTGAATTTTAAGAACCATAATTTACAGGTTTTCTTTAACAATATACAAATGAAAAGAAAGGGTTGGTTCTAAAAAAACTGATTCTAATTAAAATGAAGTCTTTTTTTTTTAAAGATTTATTTATTTGTGCATACAGAACTGGGGTACAGACCAGAGGCTCAGAGGCAGTGAGAAGCTTCACCAGAGACAGAGTGGGGAGCAGAACAGGCAGATCGATGAAGTACACTGCTGAGGGGAGCAGCGGGCGGGTCAGGAGAGGTCTGCCTCGCCATGTGGTCACCTCCGGGGCAGGCGGGAATCGAACTCATGCGGAGGCGGCTTTAGATTCTCAGTGCTGTGCTTTAACCCGCTGCGCCACCAGGGAGGGCCTAAAATGAAGTCTTAACCCAAGTAGTAGCATTCATCTTTTTAAGCTTATTGAATTCTATCTTTCTCATCCATATTTAGGCACTTTCCCTCAGACCCATAACAATTTTCGTCCCTCTATGCATCCAAATGTAGTTGAAGTTGCAATTGAGATTTAGATACAAATTGTCTTAGATTAATAATTCCAACTAAATGTAACAAAGTATCTGAAGAGTCTTGTCTGTTAATGGGAAATACCATTTCCTATCTTCTCAAAAAGAAAGATACACTATATCTAATTCAAACCCACATAGCCTGGCTCTTTTAGCCATATCCATAAATCTGTCCACATTAAGTAATTATAGAGCAGAAACTAAAAATAAAGAAGATATTAAAGAATATAAAATGTTATGTATGCATCATGAACTTAATTTGGAATGCTTTGTGTTTCAAAAAAGTGGGAAGGTTAAAAAAAAAAAGTGGAGGTGTAAGAACTGAAAGAACTTCAAATTGAAATAAGAGTTGAACTGCAATTATGTTTATATGCCCTATTTAAAAAAGACATCTTGAAACCATCTTTCAGTGTTTAAAAAAAAGGAGATATTTTTGTTGACTACATTTTTATCTTTCCATTAATTAGTTATGCTTCAGAACTTAGTCATTAGACACCATAGTACTTTGACACATAATTGTGCTCATACCAACAGACTGTTCAGAGGCAAAGATTCTAGAGGATGGAACTGCACCTGTTGGTTTTTTTTTTTTTTTTGGATTCAGGAACTTTAATTTTAAATGACCTCCTTTCACTACTTTTCAACTGGCACATGAATCAGTGCTAGAGCAAGGTTGTTTATTTCTCCTACCAGACCAAATGTAGTCAAATTCTCACTTTTCCAAGGTGAACTCAGACATGAGGGATACTGTTTCTCTTTGAGCCTTTCAAGGCAAAAAGAAGAGAACCTGTTGCCATGCTAAAAGGCACAATTCACAATAGAGGTAAAACAGTTATGATATCTGTGCAATTGACAACAATCACAATAAAGTACAAGTTATAGGGGCTGAAGGAGACATAGATAAAGCACATTCATGATTTAAGATACTTTAATATGCCATTCACCATTCAAGGATTTAAGAAGATAAAAAACTACAGAAGACCTAGCCTACTTACTCATTAAGGTAGGTAACTTAGTATTAACGTAGGTAACTTAAAGATCTATATCAAACTTCATGTCTTGATCATTTTTGCAGCTTTTCATTAAATTTGTAATCGTTTTCAAAATTAAGCTGCCAGAGAGAGAGAGAGAGAGAGAGAAGGAGGAGATAAAAGAGGAGAAACAGAAAAGAAATGAGGTGTCATTTTGTGCTCCATCTCCAACTGTAAGTGACAATCGCAAGACTCACCGCCAGGGCAGTTCCCAAAGCACTACACCATGTGTTGGCTTGTCTTCAGTGATTTGGATGACAGTCTCCTCACCTGCAGTGTCTCCCACAGACCCCCTGGTGCCTGGGCAGCCCCATAGGGGCTTGCAGCCCCATCAACCTCTAGCTATAGCTACTACAACTGTTTTCCACCAATTGTACTTCTTCCTTCAGACATCACTACCAGGTCAAAAATTTATTTTTTGGCTATGGTTTAACCTAAAAACATAGCCTTTTAGCTGAACTAGTTTTTGTTCAGAAAAAAAAAGGAAGAAAAAGAAAGATTGCCAAAGAGGTGTACCTATAATTTGACTCATTAAGCCAAGAGGTGAAATCTCAGAATCCTAGACTTACAGAGGATGAACAAAAACCACATACTGAAAGAAATAAAAGGTGACAGATATATGATGAGATTGGTCCAATACTGCTGAGTGTTGTGTTCATTTTTACTGTGTCATTATGCAAAACCACCTTCCATTTTATTTTAAAATAAAAAGGAAATGCATTTTGTCTCTCTCACTGACTGAGCAAATGTTTCCAGTTTAGCAAGCTAAGCCAGAGGCACTGCACTTGAGGTTTTTTGCTATTCTTTTTAGAAAAGAAGTTACCAAGGTGAAACTGTAATAAAGAAAATGGGCAAAGCAAATGACAATGAGCACACAGCTGAGGTAATTTATCACCATGGTGCTCAGTTTACTGTAATATATTTGATGTTTGCTCTCCCACCCACCAGTGACACGAGTATGCAGGCAAAGAAAATATACCTGGACCTCAATAAAAAGATAAAAATACTACGAGAAAGAAAATACACCTGTTGGAGGTTTGTGTTTTATCTTCTTCTTTAAGCAAATAAGAATGAAGTGTGTATGTTTTGACCACAAAAGGTTGTTTTGGCAAAATGAACACTTTTTATGAAAGATTATATGACATAACTCCTTTTAACTCCACTAAACAAAGCAGCACAAACACTTAGTAACATTAAAAATACCCAGAGTGGGCCCTCCCTGGTGGCGCAGTGGGTTAAAGCACTGCTCTAAGAAGCTGAAACCACTTCCGCATGAGCTCGATTCCCACCTGCCCCGGAGGTGACCACATGGTGTGGCAGACCTCTCCTGACCGCCCGCTGCTCCCCTTAGCAGTGTACTTCGTTGATCTGCCTGTTCTGCTCCCCATTCTGTCTCTGGTGAAGTCTTTCGCCACCCCTGAGTCTCTGGCCTGTACCCCAGTTCTGTATGCACAAATAAATAAATCTTTAAAAAAAAAAAATACCCAGAGTGCTGACTGTAAAATTCTGTATGGACTTTTTCTTCCCAAATTCAAAAACAAAAATAGTGCTTAAAAGAAATAATACTAAAAAGAAAAATAGCACCTAAATTTATTCAGAACTGTAATATTATTTCTAAACAGTTAAAGACGGGCTTGTAAACAAATGTGCCCAGTCATGTGCAGCTTTAACCCATGTTCCGTAACTCATACATTTTACAGACCTGCTTTCCTACAAAGGGTCATTGGTTCTCAACTCTCAAGTCTGTCTTTTTCAAGTCATTGTGCTTTTAAATATCAGTTCTTCACTTCTGAGCTGCATTTGGCTTTCATGGCTTCCACAATACATCAGTCAATCTTTTACTTTGGAGAACAAGTGGCATTCCAGCTATGGTTGGTTGACCTCGGCAGCTAAAACATCCAATATTTTAAAAATTGGGCTTATTTTTCATGAGACATAAGGCATGAAAAAATGTGATCAAAATGTAGCTGACATCCTACAATTCTTACTTATTTTACTTGAGGGAAAAAACAGAGGATGGTTCTTTTCTGACCACATTATTTCTTCATGTAATGTCTATGTGGATTTCAAGGACCTGCTACAGAGATTTAAGTAGAAATGATCAAGAGGTTTTTATCAATAATATATATAAAACATTCTCTCTAAACATTTAAAAAACTTTTACCACTTACGTGCACTGTCTCAGCCTTTTAAAATTAATACAATTATCCACTGGGTCTCTGACTTTTAGATCAGATTAATTAACAGCCACCTTATTTTCCATGTTGGTCCATAACTGGATGCAACCAGTTTCATAAACCTAAATTTACTTGGAAAGTTATTATTCAGTGTAATGAGTCAAATTCATTTACTTCCTCATGTTAATTGAGCTCACTATTTAAGATCACTATGATGAGGCAAAACAATTTAGAGTAAGATGATCCACACTCAAGACCTAACTAATGTGCCATCTACAATAACTGAGCAAGTCATTAGGCATTCTGGATTTCAGTTTGTGAACTCAAAAGGAAAATGTTGAAGTAGGCAGGTTCTTTCACTTCTCTGAAACCAACATGGTCCTTTACTAACCTGAAAATCACTTCACAAACCATTTTTGCACTTATCACCATGAAAGTGCATCACCTTAGACCATGATCACCTCTAATCTAAAAGTTAATGACGAGCTACTGCCAAAAAAAGTCCAATGAAATCCTCCTGAAGAGCATGAAGCTATGACCAACACTAATGTTCCTTGCTGAAGCAGCATGACTAGTGTTCACTCAGATTCATCATCTCATTAGTGACCTAATTTCCAAAGTTACCAAGCAAAGAAAATGTCTTTTAAGAAAACTGAGGAGCAAAATCTATAAAACTGGTATGTATTTGCTACTACATTAGAAAAGTTCACAGTACCTAAAATAGCCACCACCTCATCATCTTGGATGACTTCCAAGGATCCCGACACGACAAAGCACAGAGCATCCACACTTTCTCCAGCATGGTAAATGAGGTCCCCAGGAGCACAGTGAATAGTCTGGAACTCCACCGCCAAGGCACGCAGGCACCCATCGCTGGCCAATCGAAAAGCAGGATGTTCATTAAAAACCTTCCGGTTTAGATGAACACAGATATCTGCTCTCATGTCTTTGGGACAGATGGAGAGGACCTGAAAAGTAAAAGATGAATAAATGAGAAGAGAAAGGGGCTATTTCAACAACAACTCATCCAACAAAGATTATAGACTGTGATAAAGTCTGTAACACACTGCACTAGACATTGGGAAGTCAAAGTCAACAAGACACATTTCTGCTATCAAGGATCTAATAACCCAGTAAGATGACTTGATGAGAAGAGGAAGTATTACAATACAGCACCATGTATTAAAGTAATAGTTTTGAAGGGATATAGCCCTCCCAAGCAAAGATCACAGTCTTAAGTTGGTCTGGAAGAATCTCAGGAAAATAATATGATTTGAACAAAGAACCAATTAGGGTATTATCACTGATTTAAGTTAGTTTCTGTTTTTAAATTTTGTCATAACTAAATAAAAATTCATGATAATGGATTGAATATTGGATGTGGGCCCATATTAACCAGTTATAAAGCAAGACTTTTTTTTTTTTTTAAAGATTTATTTATTTCTACATACAGACCTGGGGTACAGGCCAGAGGTGCAGGTACGGTGAAGGGATTCACCAGAGACAAAATGGGAAGCAGAACAGGCAGATCATTGAAGTGTGCTACTGAGGGGGGCAGCGAACGGGTCAGGAGAGGTCTGTAGTACCATGTGGGTCACCTCCAGGGCCGGGGATCAAAGTCATGTGGAAGTGGCATTAGCTTCTTAGAGCTGTGCTTTAACCCTCAGCGCCACCAGAGAGGGCCAAAGCAAGACTTTTAAAAAACAGCTGTGCAACTTCACATCCTGGCAGAGGCTGATATTGCTTCACTCTTGATGTGTTTTCTTCCCACTGAAATAGTTTCATTTTAAATTTAATTTATGTGCAGGGAATGGAAAGAATATTCACCAGCCTTCTGAGGGCTTAGGCAAATGGAACTGTCAGTATGGACAAGAAGGTGGATACATGATTTTGCAAGGCAGGCTTGGTCATTCTGGTCTTGGACACCTAAAGACTGCTGAGGCCAACAGCAAAATTTTAGCTTGGGTATCTATTAGAAAAGGGAATAAATGGAATAAGTATGCTTATATAGCGAGCAGTGAATGGCTTTTGTTGCCTGTAGCTTTCAGACAGGACAAGAAAGATCCCAAAGAAAATGTGCATTATCATTGCACTTAATCTGAGTACCATTAAGCAAGATATGATTACTGAAGTCAGTATCACCCATTTTAGAGATGCATGTGCAAACTTACCTAGAATACTCTCTCCCATTCCCCCTGGTAAACTATATAATCATGAATGTTTTTCTTTGATAAAATTTCAAATCCACAAACTAAAACAAAAGTTGATTTCCTTTCATGAAGTTAGGATATTTTAAAATGAAATAGTCCCTTTCTGTACTAGCTGCATTTCTTCAGCCTTTTAAAAAAAATCACCTAAGACTTGAAATAGTCCCTATTACTTTTTTAAAAAAGATTTATTTATTTATACATACAGAATTGGGGTACAGGCCAGAGGTGAAGGGGTGGTGAGAGGATTCACCAGAAACGGAGTGGGGAGCAGGACAGGCTGACTGATGAGTACACTGCTGAGGGGAACAGTGGGAGGGTCAGGAGAGGTCTGCCATGCCATTTGGGTCACCTCCAGGGCAGGGACTGAACTCATGCTGAAGTGGTTTTAGCTTCTTAGTGCTGTGCTTCAACCTGCTGCCCCACCAGGAAGGGTCCCCTATTACTTTTATTTGAGGTTCACTACAAATGAATAGCTGTTTTTTTCCTACGTGTTAGATGAGACCATCATAAATAAAAACTGTTAATTAAGGGCCTCCTTGGTGGCAAAGGAGTTAAAAATCTCAGTTCTATAAAGCTATTGCCAGCCACTGCAGCACAAGTTCGATCCCTGGCCAAGGAGCTGACCCATATGGCCCAGCAGGCCTCTCTTGACACTCCTGTTTCTCTCTTCGGCAGTGTATTTCAGTGGATCTATCATTTCTGTTTTCTGTTCCCCACTCTATCTGGTGAATCCTTCCTGTATCCCCAACCTCTAGCCTATCCCCCAGTTCTTATATAGATAAATAAAAAATAAACCTTAAAATAAATTGTTAATTCAAGGATGTTTCTAGTATTCTTTAATAATCCTTTATCGTGCAGCATAAAAGATCAGGTTCTGGGCCCTCTCTGGTGGAGCAGAGGGTTAAAGCACAGCACTAGGAAGCTAAAGCCACTTCAGCATGAGTTTGATCCCTGCCCCAGAGATGACCCACATGGCATCTGCCTGCTGCTCCCCTCAGCAGTGTACTTCAGTGATCTGCTGGTTCTGGTCCCCACTCTGTCTCTGGTGTGACACAAGCGGGTAGGTAGGGAAAAGCTCTGAAAAATCAGACTTTCCACTGCTAACTTATGTTATGACCTCCCTTTTCTGTATAATCATAATATCAAAATATTCTGAGCAACTTTCAGCTTACAATTGGATTGCCTGGCCCTGAGGAGCAAGCACTGTAGCAAGGTGAGAAATTCCTCTGAAGTCAAGTGACTTGACAACTGGCTGACCAATAAAAGCTTCTGCAAAGTCTTTCTCACTTCCAATGGAGGAAACCCAAATTTTATCACTCTACTATCTCACCTAGCCTTCTATTCAGTTTCTAAATAACCACTCAAGCTATCTAGTCTTTGGATATGGAAATTAACCCAACTCCTATACAGAGCTAATCAGGTTTTCTACTGTCTAGACTTCAAAAAAACTCTCTTAAAACCTTTTAACAAGTTTTTCAAAGAACCTTATCTTAATTTGATTTACAAGAAATTTCCTCTTCCTGCCCTCACTTTACTTTACCCCCCAGGATGTCTCTATGAGAATGAAAGCCCTTAAGTAAAAGATAATGTTTCAGGGACTTTATTTTGGTTAATCTCCACAGTGGTAAATATAGTAATATTAGTCTTAAACTTTGTGGATCTATGTACCTGTTTTAACCTTGATAGATTGATTTTAAAAATGTTATAATCTCAACTGAAGGTTAAAACGACCCCAGACTATTTTTAGCAAAAAGGTGATTGTGATTTCAGCCTATTTCATATGCTAATGTCATCCCTCTGCTTGCCTGAAGTGTATAAAATAAACCTCTGCTAAAGGCAGAGCAGGAAGACTTGCACCCAACTCCCATTCCCGTGTCTTCCTCATGCCTGCTCCCCTTTTTTTCTAGGAATCTCGGCTGGCTGATGCCATTCCCACCTTGAGACCCTGCCTGTTCTGCCCCCAATAATCCGTGATCGGGACAAAGTCTCTGACACTGGTGAATCTTTTCACTGCCCCAGCACCTCTGGCCTGTACCTCAATTCTGTATGCAGAATATAAATAAATCTTTTTCTTTTTCTTTTAAGTAGACCTAAAGTCACCCCATGGCAGCCTCCTGCTCCACTGTTGGTGGAACACACAGCTTACTTGGTGTGTCTGTAATGGGGATCAGAGTACAGTGTTATTTCTTCCATACATGAAGGCATTCATAAGTTTCTTAGGCAAGACAAAATTTAGTTCTACGTGATAAAAGAAAATTATCCTTCAATTACACCTGGTCCTTCAGGTCCTGATTTCAATGTGCTTTGGCTAAGTGGCATATCCAATCTTTCATAAGTGGTGCCCTAAAAGTGGGTGTCTAATGAAATTACATTTCAGGTGAATATGACTTATTTATCACAGAGTAGCTTATTTATCCCCTTTCACTCAAGATAGTTACAAATTAAAGTAGATGTTAATTAAAACAAAATATTTTCCTATTGGAAGAGTTATAGATATACATAAAGTATTATTTTTATAAATCTACAAATCAAGCCTGGATGGAAAAGAAAGAATGCTCTCTATTGAAAAATAAATATATTTGAATGTTTGTGCAACCAGTTCAGCTTAACCCAATATCTAGAGGTTTCCTCACAGATAACCTTCAGACTCCAAAGACTCAACCTTTGCCCTGTGACCAGAGGACTCTAAGTGAAAGTCAATCATGATGATGCTACCATTTTCTTAAAATAGTTGATGAATCGATGCCACTGGGTAAAGTTTAAGTCCTCACCAAATTCATTTCAGTCTTTTTGTGACGGGAGCCCCCTTTAGTCATGGCCCTTACTACCTCCCTCCAACTCCACATCCTGGTCGCACTGTCTCGTGCCTCTCAGCTTTGCACTGCTGTTACTTTCAGCTGACATGTTCTACCCCTACTCACTGTCCAGTCACTTCTGATTCATCCATCACAACACAGAAGATTTCTAGCTGCCATAAGTACAATTGATAAAAAGAAAATATGGAAGCACCATCTACATGGTGGAGTTTAGGATTTTAACCTAGAGATTTCTAACTTTTATTTTCAGCAGTAAGACCATCCTTTAGGTTATTAATGAAATATATCTTTAATAACATTTAATATAATGAAAAATCTGAATAGTTCCTAAGGTATTGTCTCATATGGCATCTGGAGTATGTGTGCAGCTTTACTTTTATATGGCAGATAAAAGCAGAAGATATATACCTACATATAAACACACATATGTAAAATGATTATGTATAGAAGAAGAAATGAGAATAAGTGGTATTAATATCTGGTGTGTGTGTGTGTATGTGTGTGTGTGCGTGCACAGAATTGTGCTGGGTGAAGTTCTGATGAAAAGGCACACTCCCCGGCCAGGGTTGCACAGGGCATGTTCAGATATTATTTCATGCCACCCATTTAACTCACAGCTTTGAGTTCTGGTTATGTGCTAGTTATATGTCGGTCCCACAGACCCATGACAAAATCTTACAGTGCCAGCCTCCCTCGAACATTCAGTCAGGAACAGTTTGGGAAGTCACTGGTCCTAGTCCAACGTCCCATTTTACAGATAAGGTAAATGTACCCCATAAAGGTTGGTTGACTTGTTCAAAGTCTCTAAAAAAAATTGCCATCAAGGGCCTCCATTGTGGCCTAGGGGTTAAGTCTCAGCACTATGATGCTTCTCACAACCACTGCAGCATAAGTTTGATCCCCGCCAGGGAGCTACCCACATGGCGCAGTAGACCTCTCCTG